TGTGAGTCAGAGGCTGCTCTGTGAGGATTTATGAATCACTGTCACAGCTAAACTGGAAGTCAGGCTATCTCAGCAAAACTGCAGCTGGAACTAATCCCACATGATATTTAATGCACAAAACCAAAACAGGTTGATTGGGCTTTTTGCAAACTACAGAGCAACTCTGCGTTTTCTGGGTCACTCAACTGTAAAATGGAATGATGGCCCATTGAGATGACAGGTATCCAAAGGGCAAAGCTGTTCCCAGTGCCACAGTAAAGAGGAAAGCAGCTGCAAAGATGACGTCCTCTGACACAGTACCATTATAAGGAATTACAGTCGGATTACTACATAAATAATAAATGCTGTTATTAGAAACAATGAAACCTATCACAAAATGCTAAGGCAGTCCTTCCATCAACTAACACATTCATTCCCCCATCAAGAAAGTCTTTCTAAAACAACATACAAAACACAAATTGCTGAATCTTCTCTGATGTGCTTCATTTGGTCTGGATTTTCCTGAATTGCAGCTATCCTATTGTTTCAAGTTGGTCTCTGGGTAATGCATTAAATAGCAGTCAGCTTCCCCTCCATAAATCAACAGCCAAATCTAGCGAGCAGGGTAAAAGCAAGCACTAATATCTCCGTGACACTGTGTTCTGGGAGCTAAGTGCAGATACCTGCAGCAGGAAAAGGATTTTCCTCTTGTACCTCATACTTACCATGAGTCCCAGACTAGGCGCTGGCTGCTGGCCAGGCCAAGGCTTCTCATCTAAGCTGCAGGAGAACAGAGAGTGTTTTCTTTTGGCAATACACTTTGTTCGATCAGAGTCAGTCAGAGCAGTCTCAGGACCCAGAAGGTGGGTGGGGATTTAGACACTTAATCCTTGTGCAAAGTGGAACCAATCAATGGGATATCCATGTGTTCAGAGCTCCTGGATGGGAATATTTTAAAGCAAATAAAAATAAGCAAGAGGATGAATAAAAAAATTAAAAACTGCCCAAATGCTATGGTACCTGAAGGCAATAAATAGCTGTGTCGTAGCCTGAGTTGAATGAAGAAAAAAGAAATACAGCCATCGTTTTGAAAATCATTACAACGTATCTCAGTAGTTTTCTTTGGCTCTATAAACACCTTTTCCCACTTAATTTATAAGGCATATGTGACTGCAAACTTGATTCAGCATCATTTAAACCACTATTTTGAGCTTTCTTTCCATATAGGATACGATCCACTGTTTGGGGTGTGCTCTGACTTTTGCGATGTGCTTCTGACTTGGTTTTCAGAAGAGGGATGGTCTCACCTAGCACATAATAGGCTGAAATGTTCAGAAAAGGCTGAGTCAAAGATCTCCTGGCATGGAAATGATAACCTATTTGCCTTTTGTACACAGTTGCTGCTTTCAAGATTGAAGATTGCCCCTGCGCCCCCACCCCCCAAAGGGATGAATCTGTGTTTTCATCAATATTGTCCGAAAGAGAAGTGAGGCATCTGATTTTCAAATTCCCACCCATCCCTCCAGACCTTCTTCTCGTCCCCAACCCTTGGCTTCCCAAAAATCCTTGCAGGGAATGGGAACCGAGCGCCGTGCTGTCAGGGCTGTTTGTTATGGGGGTGGGGATGCAGCCCAACTTCTGCTATGTAAATAACCAGGATTGATTCACTTCCTCACTAAGGTGCAGCACAAAGCCTTTTTTTTCCATTTAAACGATTACCACCAACCATTCCCCAGACAACCGAAGCCATAAATTACCGCACCGGCCAGCACAACGCACAGGCCCAGGGCAGCGGGGAGACGTTGCAATTGGGAGGCGAAAGCACAGACACCCCAAAACCCCTCACAACTTCGGCCCCTCATTTCAGGGACCCCCTCCGGCACTTGAGGGAGCTTTTTATTGTTTTTTTAATTCAATTTTCTCTCAGCGTCGAGCCCAAAACTGCTCTGCGTGACCGCTCAGAGGGCAGCGATGCCCTGCCCGCGCCCACCGCTCCCCACAGGAGGCCCCGCTGCCGGGAGGCCGGGCTCCCCC